GCTGAGGAGTTGAACTCAGGACTGTAGGTATTGAATGATGGAATTGGGCCGGAGTTCAAATCCATGACTATAAACCACTTGGCCATCTTTCCTACACAAAAGTAAATGGTCATGACTTAAAAAATGTAGAAGTGATACAATTTCAGACTTCATATGTTTTCCAGTTCAAGTTACTGCCAGTTAAAATCATGAATTTTAGCACAAAACAAATGCTCTTCAGACTGATGGTCACAAGTAGCTGCCATGATGGTTTTTATATCCTAATGCAAATAGCAGATTTGCATGTTGTCGTCATCTGACTACAACTACCAAAATTCCTTTTGTTTTTTCTTTATCATTTACATTTTGAATTCCCAGTGGTGTTTAAATAACAATTGCCCTAATAAGCGTAAGAAACTGAAAAAGTGAAGGATTCTGGTAGTTGTAGTCAAATGATGCCATCATGCAAATTGCCTATTAGCTATGCAGTGTGTCAGGGGAAAACATTGGAAAGAAGTAAATCTCGGAATAGAATTGGCTCATCTTGAGTATCTGCTCCAGAGTCATATTTGACAAGTGCCATTCCAGAAAATATTCAGACCCCACAAGGAAGGTAATTGGAAGTTGCTAGGTGGTGCAAGGTCTCCAAGCCCAACAAGGAGCTACTTCAAACAAAATGGTGGTGTTTCTTTTCTGGAGTAATTAGGGTGTTTGGAAATTTGGGAAGAGCTGCATTTTAGAACATGCTGCATATGAAGGCCACAGGGATTATTACTTACATAACACTCCTTTCACAGGGTTGTTTTGGAAATAAAAGAGAGACCATCTCGAGAATTATTCCTTCTTTTAGCACGAGGCAACAGTCTAAAGTGGTGTGCTGTGCATGACTACCAAACAGTTATCAGAAATGATAAGAGACCAGTCACCAGTTTCCAGAATTTAAGTCGCTGGCAAAACCCCCTACAAAGATTGCATGCCCAATTTGCATAATTTATAATGGAAAGCAAATGTGGCAGCTATCACAAATATAAGGCCTAATGACTTGGTTTCACGTAAAGTAATGAAAGCAACCAGACCTTAGTTTTCAGCAATGTGTCATTATTTAGAGTACGGCTACTGAAAATTAACTAAGTGCATCAAATTATAATTTAATTCTTTCAAATTAATTACAATACTGTGGTTCATACAGAAAGAAAGTCATCATTAAAGACACAAAATGTTATTAACTGTCATACATACAAAACGTAAAACAAATCAGTTGCGGGCACAAAATAATTACAAAAATTTCGCACAATTTTTTTCAGGTTTGGCTTAGATCTTATCATGTCACTGGTATTTGTGGTATACAGAATAGTCTCAGTTGTAGTATTGGTTCCAAGTTAGCCGGATTTTTAATTTATTTAAGATGGCCACCAATAAAAATACCAGAAAATTGGAAAAGTACACAGAATTGGTGAATAAAGTGGGTCACTGAGAAGGCGGTGTAAGGGAAAGTGGTACAAAGTAGGGGTGAGGATCTTTGCGGAATAAGGTGGATCAGGCGGTGTAAAGGAAAGGGAAGCAAAGTGGGGGTATGGGGGTTTTGGGGAATAAGGTGGATTAGGCAATGTAAGGGAAAGGGAAGCGAAGTGGGGGTGAGGGGGGGTTTAGGGAATAAGGTGGAATGCTCCCGCGGGGTCGTCGAGAGAGGGTGGAATATTTTAACGGAAATTTTTGACTGTGCATCCGTCTGATAAGTCGCATTTGTCACACGGGAGCGGTCTATAATGTTGATTTCAAGCTGTGCCGTAGTCTAAAGGACGGTCACCACAGGCAACACGAGTGAAGCGACAAAAAGGTCGAGTGACCGACCAGAGAACGGCAAATGTACAAATGTCACGAACTGTAGAAGTCGTGTCGGTCACCCCAAAACGCAGACCATGCAGACTGCAGACCATGCAGACCATGCAGACCGTGCAGACTGTGCAGACTGAGTACTTTTTTTCTAACACTTGACTCACTCTTTTCGCCTCTAGTGACAAAATAGTGTTCAATATGTCCTAACGTTTGTTATTTATCCACAGCCGGCACAAACTCAACATCTGACTGTTGATTCACGCGTTTAATAGACTTTCTGTGGGAAATTCTCTTTACTGGTCCTAAATATGCTAAAACCAAGCGTAAAAATAAACTTACACAGTGGCGGATCCAGACTTTGAGCTAAGGGGAGGGCCCGGTTTAGTTTAACTTGCCCTGCCGGCTTTTCTTCCTTCAGTCATTTCTTCTTTTTTCACCCAAAATAAGCGGGAGCCCCGGGCCCCCAGGGCCCCTCCCCTAGATCCGCCAGTGTTACATACATTCTGGGCGCAAATATTGTGTCCATTTTTGACGAGTTTGTGGTTTTATTTATTTTGTCTAATTTGTTGCTGTTGTTGTTGCTGTTATGGGTTGTTGTTGTTGTTTTTTTTATTTTCGTAGTCTTCGTTCTCCTCTTAACTGATTCATAAAACAAAGCAAGGACGGTGACTCTAAGCGACCTTGTCCTACAAATCGCTTTTTCTCCACAAAGTAGAGAATCGCCATTAGACTAGGGGTATTCCCTCTTTCGCTTAGTTGAGCGTGACTGTAAGTAAACCTCGAGGGAAAAAAATGCTCGCATGAAATTTTTTCCTCGAGGTTTTCCGTATGCATCACGCACGATGGACTAAGCGAAAGAGGGACCACTCGTAGTCTAAATCGCCACAAAAACACAACTGCCATAAGTACAGATAAATTAACCATCGCATCAACTCATCACGGCAACCGTACTGCGCGGAGAATTTCAAATGATATTAGGTTTTCTGTGATCTTTCCATGCGCTAGGCTTTTTTGGCGTGATCGCAGTCACACTCCAACCGCCATTTGGAATTACATTTTGTACACCAAGAGTACAAAATACACATGCTACGTGTGACATTATAATAGAAGATTCAAGTTCTGTTAAGCGTGTGTCCATGAGAAAACCAGGCAGAAACAGCAAGGAGGTGATACAGCTCAAATCACCAATTTTGCTCAAACTTGACGCAAATGTTGGGTTTGGTGAGTACATGATCATGGCAAAAACGTAGGTCAAAATATTTTATTCCCGTCAAGTTAGGAAGTTTCAAGTTTTAAAATGGGCGCTTGTGACTAATTTATGCATATTCAATTGGCTGTCTTTGATTTAGTATTTCTACAACAAAAAAGGTCATGTGAAAATTAAATCCACTGGATCATGTTCTCCTATTATCAGTCTCAAAGCACAGATATTCATTTGCACTAGACAATTTGGTTTCTCTCCGTGGCTCCATCTTAAGTAAGGTGCATATTTCAGCAACAGCCAGTACACATTATTCTCACATGAATAGTGAGAGCAATGGCAAGATATCCGTATAACCCCATACATTAACTATGCATACAGTTCTTTGTTTAACTAAACAACAGCCGAAACAATAGAGCTACTTTGAGACTTACCTGCTTTCAATAACTATAAAATTTGCCCTTTTTCCAAGTGTCGCATTCTTTGAGAAAAAATGTGGCAAAAGAAGATTCAACGCATAAGTTCCCTCAACTTATGTTTTCAGGCGTAAAATGGAATGGAAACAAGAAATAACTACTACATACATGTGCGATTTTGCGTTCTTGGATTGCGAAATGTCCAGTTTTGCGTCATCTGCTCCGATGCTTCGACAGCTTCGACCCGAGTTTTAAAGAGAATATCCATTGCCATCCCGCTCTCGTCGTCAGAGATATCAACATTTGTCAAGAGAGCTACTCAAAAGCCCATATAAAATCCAGGAAGAGCCATCACTGCTGTAAGTGTTATAGCGTACAGATTTCTATCAAAGCCCAACACGAAATTTAGAGTGCATCCATGATAGGACCAGGCAGGGGCGGCACAAGCTATCTCACCGATTTCGATGAAACATGGCCAGTTTGAAGGGGTTCACCCAAAACTACTTCAGTCTAAGTTTAAGGAAATTTGGTGAAGACTGGGGGGAGTTGACCACCCCCTTTGTTTTTGTTTTACAAAAATGACCAAAATCGCCTAAAAAAATGGTCAGAAGTATAAAGCTCTACTGCTATAAGAATTTAACCAAATCTTTTCAAATTTTCAGTTAATGTTGTCGTACCCAAAGACAATCTACTGTCTACGTTTCGTGTTTCTCCAACTAATTCCTATTACACAAGTCGTCTCAGCCAAGACCCCCCCTTTCACCCAATAGTGAAAACTGTTAAAATACCCAAAGCTTAGGCCAAAATATCTCCAATGGTGGAGCATGCTTTAAAAATCGGATCATACCGTCTAAAAGGTGGGACTTCATACTAATATTATCTGCAAAAATATCTTTGGGCACTCACTGAATTATTCCACAGGAAGACCGCAAACACTTCGTCCACTACAGGATACCCGCGTCAATGTTTTTTCATTATAACGAACAAATTCGGTAATTATGACACAGCAACAGACAGAAAATGCCCCCAAATGGTTACGCATCGTACACTTTAATGAAATAGAACCATTTCTATCTAATCGCTTAAAAAGTAAAAAATTTCGCTCACCTCAGGGTACCCACGTCAATTTTTTTTATTATTATTATAACGCGCTTATTCGATAATAATGACATAGCAACAGACCGAAAATGCCGCAAAATGGTTACACACCATACACTTTAATGAAATAGAACATTTTGAAGCTTTTGTTTGTCCTAAGCCATGAAAATAACCATTGGCGGCGTAATGATGGCTTCTATTATTGTATAAGTGAACTACGTGACAGGACTTTCCATTCGCTAAGTCAAACACGCGAGACACAGAACACTATCAAAATGCTTACATTGTCTGTATTTGAACGTTGGAATGATTGTGTAATGAAATTTGGTTTTGTTCGTCTAATAAAGGAATAATACATTGGCTTGAAACTTGCACGCCATATCGCATCTTGATGCAGAAAACTTTGCCAGAAAGACCTCGCTATACTGAAAACAAAATCAACTGCTTGTTTTTGAGACCTGTGCCCTAAAGAATAGTCCTTTGTAAAAAACTATCAAAGAGAAAATTCAAAATAAATATGATCAAACAGGTAAACACTCTGATCGAAAGTAAAGTTACAGTACTAGCTCCCTCCCGATTTGAAGTCGTGTTCTAATGATGGGAGCATCAGCCACGCATGGGTCTTCCTCCTCATCTTCGCTTTCTCCTCCCTCAGGTACCGGTTCTGGTGGTGCTGGCCTCGCCTCCTCTGATCTATGAAGAGCCCCACTCCTGTTTAATGCAGCCAATCTACTAAAATATCTGGAAATCTGGGTAGATGTCAGCCACTTGTCTTTGGTGAACATCTTCGTTCCCTCAGCGGTTCGCATGGACCTCATTCGTGCTGCTATATCCCCAGCCGTTGCTTTATTCCCAGTGTCCTTTCCTTGAAGGAAGACTTCACGCAAAAATTGGCGCACTTTGGTGGTGAAATGAACAGACTTCTTGGTGTGGGCGGATGAGCTGTTTCCATGTAGCTACCAGAAATTAATTTGTACGTCTCTGCCCACTTTTTCTTTATCACGTCGTTCGTGGACTCTCTCTTTCCAACACCAGAAGGCGTTTCCCGGTATCAAGGCGCTGAAGGCTACTGTGACTTTGGTAGACCTTTATACAACCCTCCTCTGGGCAGCCAAAGACCACGCTCTCTTCTTCTTCGAGCTCAATCCCTTCTGCGGCTATAGGCTCCATTGGAGGTGTTACAGGCTGCTGTTCCCGCGTGCTGGAAGGGGCACGGAAAACACCAGTCAGCATGTCAGGACTACTGAACGCCTGGTGAACTTGT